AAGGAAGGAAGGAAGGAAGGAAGGAAGGAAGGAAGGAAGGAAGGAAGGAAGGAAACCTTCAATGAGGCATGTTACTGACATGATGTAACTGTAAGAGGGACAACAGGCCCAGGTTGCTTTTAGGGAGCCCCTTGTGCTGGGGAGGAAAGGAGGCCATTAGATGAGAAAATAACCGAGTACTCCTGTTCGTTAAGTAATTGCACAGAAAAAGGTATTCCGGCGGGGGCTGCTGGTCTGAAGAGCGAGCTCTGCTGCAGCAGCATCGGGAACAAACTGCAGCGGTGTCAAAATGACGCACGTGAGGTGACACCATCAGGCAAATGCTGCAATTACGTCCTTGCCTCAGGTCCTTAGAGCCACGCGTGTATTTGGGCGATGAGGTCAGGGATGAGCCATGTTTGCCCTCCCCCCCCCCCCCCCCCGCTGGGGCCCCCGCAAGTCTGTTAAAACCCCTTTCCTGTTCTGCTCGCTCCGCATGGCGCTTTGTGCAAAAGTCTAGGCAACATGTTGCGATGGGCCTCGCATCTGTCGGATCCCCGGGTTTTGCGATCATAGCTCAGTGGCACTCCGTGGCGCCATTGCAGTGCTGGGTGAAGACCTTTCTCTTTTCTCAGGCGTTTTCATTTTAATGTTTTAATTGAATTTAAATTATGTATAGTTCTACTGCTGCCTCGTTTGTGTGGTGTTTTATTCTGTCTTTGAATTGATTTTATTGGATAGGTTTTAACGTGAATTATACTTTGGTTGTGTTTTATTGTAAACAGCCCAGAGAGCTTTGGCTATAAAATAAAAATAAAATAAATATCTCTAGAAAGCTGTCTTGAATCGGGGGCCAGGGGATGGAGGTTTTGAACAAGGAAATTGTGAGTAAAATAGAACTGAAGCTGGTGTTTTTATCGAGAAAAGGGGGGAGGGGGAAGGAAGATTGTACCCATACACAGACACATATACACACAAAACAAGGGTAAGAGGTTCAGGATGTAATGAGGGACAGCTTTTATTCTGGGATTTATCCTCCCGGCTGGGTGGCCTGGTTCATTTTTCATCCTGTGGAACCTGAAATGAGAAAAAGAGAAACATCCAAAGGAAACCCTAAATGGAATTCATGAAAAAGCCTCCTCCTTATTTATTTTTTTTCCTAAAAATACACACAGAACAAAACTTTGGAGAACTGGTTCCTGTGGCATCTTGCTTCGAAGGCAGAAATAACCATTTTTATACATACATTTTCACAAAATTAGAAGGGAATGGGAAGGCTGAGAAGACTGCAGGGGGCCCTCCATATAGGTCGTCCTCATTTAGTGACTGCCTCATTTAGTGATCATTCGCAGTTATGACAGTGATGAAAAAGTAACTTTGTGACCGATCCTCACATTTATGACCTTTGCAGGTCTGTAAAGCAAAGGAAAGCAAAGTCAGATCGCGGTTTCACTTAGTGACCACTTTGCTTAATGACCAAGTTGCCGGTCCCAATTATGGTAGCTAAATGAGGAATACCTGAACAGCCAAGGGCCTGATGCCATCTTATGTACCTATATAAATGATTAATCTATCATTTAATTGCATATCTGAGGTTTTTATGAGATGTAAGCCACCAACAACAGTTGGATGAGGTGAGGCAGCAGACACATCAATCTTTTTGCTATCATTTATTTGTTGTTGTTGTTTAGTCGTTAAGTCGTGTCCGACTCTTCGTGACCCCATGAACCATATTGCGCCAGGCCTTCCTGTCCTTCACTGCCTCCCTGAGTTTGCTCAGTTTCATGCTCATTAGTCATTCATATATTTGCAACCCAGATCCAGTAGCTATAGATTTCACCAAACCTCACCCCAATCCACATTAAGAAAAGGCAGAGCCTTGATTGCACCATTGTGGCTGCCATCTTGACTTTTTTGACCACAGCTTGTGGACACCCCTGCATTCTGCTGCCTAACAGCCCCTTAGGAGCCGGTTTTCTTCTTAGTATACAAAAAATCCAATCCAGAGTTGTGTTGTCCATCACACCGATGCAATACAAGCTCCTCCCCTTTTGTGTTGTGACGCATGCACGTAAAAAAGGGGCGGAGCTTGCATCAGCCTGGCACAATGCTGCTACCGCCACTGATGAAAACCGTGGTTCCTGTTGATGTTTCTGGGGAAGCCCAAATGGAATTTTAGGTGGACCTTCTGAACGAAGCACTGGCCTGCAATCACCATCACCCCCAGCTGGCCTCTCCTTTTTCGAATGAAAACAATGTTTATTTTTTAGAAAGTCAAAAATGTTAGGTAAGACAGAGTCTGGCAGATGCCCAGGAAAGAGTTTGTGGGTGCTAATGTGCCAACAAGCAGCCTAGCTTTCAAACATGATGGATAAGGAACAGGATGGAGCAAAGATGCCATGTTGATCTGTGATACCAGGGTTTTTCAAGCTTGGTCACTTTAAGACGTGTGGACTTCAACTTCCAGAATTCTCCAGCCAGCCTGCTGGCTG